GTGTTCTGTTGCTGTGTAGAGACACCGTGACTGTTCAGTCAGTGTTCTGTTGCTGTGGAGAGACACCATGACTGTCTCAGTGTTCTGTTGCTGTGAAGAGACACCATGACTGTCTCAGTGTTCTGTTGCTGTGTAGAGACATCATGACTGTCTCAGTCAGTGTTCTGTTGCTGTGAAGAGACACCATGACTGTCTTAGTGTTCTGTTGCTGTGGAGAGACACCATGACTGTCTCAGTGTTCTGTTGCTGTGTAGAGACACCGTGACTGTCTCAGTCAGTGTTCTGTTGCTGTGTAGAGACACCATGATTGTCTCAGTGTTCTGTTGCTGTGGAGAGACACCATGACCACGGTAAATCTTATAAGAGAGGGCATTTAACTGGGGCCTTGCTTGCCGTTTTAGAGGGTTAGTCCATGATTATCATGGTGGAAGGAGACAGGCATGGCACTAGCACAGTAGTGGAGAGCTCTACATCCTGATCTACAGGCAACAGACAGAAAGAGAGATTGGACCTGGTGTGGACTTTTGAAACCTTAAAGGCCCAGGCCTAGTGACATACCTCATCCAACAGGGCCACACCTCCTAATCCTTTCCAAGCAGTTCCTGTAACTGGAGGCCAAGCATCCAAACATAAGAACCTATGGAGGGCATTCTCATTCAAACCACCACAGATGGTTAAGTGTTAACTGTCAGAATCATCTGGGAGTTGGGCTTATCTTATGTTAGCTGATGTAGAAAGACATATCCACTATGGGAAGCAGTATTTATTCCCTGAAGATGATCTTGGACTATATAAGTAGAGAGAGGAGTCTGAGCATCCTTAAGTGTCTTAGTCACTATTCTGTTGCTGTGAAGAGACATCATGACCATGGCAATTTTTATAAGAGAAAGCATTTCATTGTGGGCTGGCTTATAGTTTCAGAAGTATAGTCCATTATCATCATAGCTGGGAGCATGGCGGCACACAGGCAGACATGGTGCTGGAAAAATTGAGAAGAGAGTCACTGGTCCTGGCTTGGGCTTTTGAAAACTCGAAATCCTCCCCCAGTGACACACCTCCTCTGACAAGGCACACCTCCTAATCCTTCTCAAGTAGTGCTACTCCCTAATGACTAAGATTCAAATATATGAACCTATGGGGGGCGGGGCATTTCTGTTTTCTTTTGTTTCTTTGTTTTCAAGACAGGGTTTCTCTGTGTGGTCCTGGCTGTGCTGCAACTCTCTGTAGACCAGGCTGGCCTCGAACTCAAAGATCTGCCTGTCTCTGCCTCTTGAGTACTGGGATTAAAGTTGTGTGCTACCACCACCCAGCTATCACCACGTCTTTACTATAGATGCAGTCTGACTAGGTGTCTCAAGTTCCTGCCTCTGTTACTTCCTCCATGATGGTGGACTGTAACCTGGAACTATGAGCCAAAATAAATCCTTTTCCCCTGAGTTATTTTTAAGTTATTTAAAGTCAGGGTGCTTTCTTTTCTTTTCTCTCTTTAGATGTATTTATTTTGTGTGAATGAATGTTTTACCTGCATATATGCCTGTGTACCATGTGCATGCCTGGTACCCAGAGAGGTTAGAGGAGGGGTCAAATCCCCTGGAACTGGAGTTATAGACAGTTGTGAGCCACCGTGTTGTGAACATCCCATGCTGGGAACTGAACTGAACTGAACCGTCTCTCCAGCCCTGGTCAGGGTATTTTATCACAGCAACAGAAAAGACAGTTAAGACACCCAATGAGGCCAGGCAGTGGTGGTGCAGCCTGGTCTACAGAGCCAGTTCCCAGACAGCCAGGGCTACACAGAGAAACCTTGTCTCAAAAAAACCAAAAAGTTGTGCAACAGTGGTACTCGCCTTTAATCCCAGCACTCAGGAGGCAGAGCCAGGCAGATCTTTGTGAGTTCGAGGCCAGCCTGGTCTACAGAGCGAGATCCAGGAAAGGCGCAAAGCTATACAGAGAAACGCTGTCTCAAACCCCCCCCCCAAGAAACCCCCCCCCCAAAAAAAAAACTATAATACTTACATCTAGAATCTGTCAAGTTGGCTACACCAACCATCACAAATAGCAGTTTTTAAAAATCAAACATTCTCACACACTACAATCAGTAGATGTGCTGATTATACTTATATGCTGAGGAATGATGAAAGGAAAATATTAATTATAGGAGTAACAAAGAATTCAGACAGGAGACACAGGCAGTTTAAGTGGAAGTTTATTTAGCAAAGAAAATTGAAGTATGTGATATATACAGAGAAATTGCTGCTCCCAAAGGCAGTACCAGCACAATGAGTTCTGTCTAGATTCATAAGTAGTTTTTATGAATATTTATGAGGTAGGTGGCTTATTCATAAGGTGACCTTTCCCCCTCTCAAGTCATGGTATGCTAAATCTCTCTTTTAGAGAATGCATTAGTCAGGGTTCTTTAGAGCAGTGGTTCTCAACCTATGTGTTGCAACCCCTTTGGGGGTTGAACAACCCTTTCACATGGGTCACATATCAGATATCCTGCATACCAAATATTTATATTATGATTCATAATAGTATCAAAATTACAGTTATGAAGTAGCAACAAAAATAATTTTATGGTTGGGAGTCACCAGAACATGAGGAACTGTATTAAAGCGTAAAGGGTCTCAGCATTAGGAAGGTTGAGAACCAGTGGTCTAGAGGAACATAGCTTAGAGAGAGAGAGAGAGAGAGCGCGAGAGAGAGAGTTGAGACCACTGGCTGTACTTCCAAAGGACTTGAGTTTGGTTCCCAGCACCCACAGTCATCTGTAATTACTGTGATGTAATCCCAGTGGATCTGATGCCCTTTTCTGGCCTCCATGGGCACCAGGCACACACATAGTGAACAGACATACATGCAGGCAAAACACTCATACACATAAATAAAATACATAAATAAGTTCTTGAAAGTAATTATTGTCAATAAAGGTTACATTTTAGGTATTCTTGTTATAAAGAGAATATGAAAATAAAGCCTGATAGTCTTTTGATTAGCACATTTCCCCTTAATGTTATTACTCAGAAGTGTTTGTTTAAACCTAACATTCTCCTTGTTTTCCTTTTATTTCATCTGCTCTTTGTTTACAACTTTGTTTCTTCTTTTGCCTTGTTTGTATACACCTAATTAACTATACATCATTTTCATAAATTCTTAAGTTTCTAAGGTAATACAGATCCATTACTTACTAAGTAACACTCTTTTTTTTTCCTGCCTCAGTGTCTCTTGTTTTCTCCAAATGAAGTTCTTTGGCGTTTAGTATGAATCCCCTGTTGTTGTACACTGTGTTGATTTTATCATTACTGATCCATACATGTATGGTGAGTCTTTTCTCCAGCAACAGAGAGTTTCTCAGAAGTTAGGGACTTCCCATAAGAGAACTAAGCATGACGATTATTAACATGCATTTTTAAGAATGTAAGGTGGTGGCCATAAGTGTTACAGCTCTGAGGGGAAAGGTATCCTGGCAGTTAGAAGCCAAAGAATACCACAAAGTCACACCACACAACAAACCTCACACAAGAGATTTATCGGGAGAGACACGAGGGTGGCCGCTTCTGCTCAGAAGCAGCAACTGAGCAGGAGGCAGGCTTTATAAAGGGTTTCTTGGGCTGGGGGGCGGACCTTTACAGGGTGGCCTGTGATTGATGGGATTTTGTGGGCTGATCTTGGAGCAAGCTCAGGGATTGGTGGGATTCTTTAGCCTGATCTTGGGCTTTTTTTTTTTTTTCCCCTGTAGGGCAGAGCTTGGCCACCTGCATCTCCAGGGGCTGGAAAGTGAGGTTGTGGCCCTTTAGAGTGGTCTGGGGGCGGGACCTGACCACTTGTGCCTTGAAGGGCTTACAGTGGCCATACCTGTAAGTCCAGCACTTGGGGGACTAAGGCAAAAAGGACCAAAAGTTCAAGGCCGGCTTGAGTTGTGTACCTATACCCTATCTATGAGAGAGAGGGGAAAATGATAAAGATAGACACAATGATACACACAATCTTAGCACTTGGGAAGCTGAGGCAGAGGGTTGTGAATTCTAGACAGCCCTGAGCCACACACAAGACCCTGTCTCAGAAACAAAAAATAACAAAAAACCCATAATTCCTTTTCTCAAAGTATAGACAGTTTAACTAGTGCTAACTCTTTTCTGTTGTGTTGTATTGTTTTGTTGTTGTTTGTTTGTTTGTTTGTTTGTTTGTTTGAGACAGGGTCTCACACTATAGCTTTGAGCTCACTATGCAGCCCAAACTGGCCTGGAACTCGGAACGCCTTTCATCTGCCTCCTGAGTGCTGGGTTTAGAGGAGTGTGTCATGTCCAGCTTTAACCATTTAATCTAGGCCCATGTGAGGACTTGAACCAGAGTATGTTTATGTCATTTCAGGATTTGGTGACATTTGGGGATGTGTCTGTAAATTTCACTCAGGAGGAATGGGAATGGCTGAATGATGCTCAGAGAGACTTGTACAGGAAGGTGACGTTGGAGAACTATAAGAGCCTGGTGTCGCTGGGTAAGGAGGTCTCTGCAGGATTCCAACTCTACACACGGGGCTGGGTTCCGTGAAGTGTCTCTGAGATGCCTGAGTTGCTTTACTAAATTTCCCCTTTTTATTAAACATTTAAAAGTTACATCTCTCTCTCTCTCTCTCTCTCTCTCTCTCTCTCTCTCTCTCTCTCTCTCTCTCTCTGTGTGTGTGTGTGTGTGTGTGTGTGTGTGTATGTATGTGTGTTCATGCTCATGCCATGGCACACGTATGGAAATCAGAGGACAGTTGGTTCTCCCCTTTCATCATGTGGGTCCTGGGGATAGAATGCCCTTCCTCAGGAGGCTTGGCAGTAAGCGCCTTTTCCCAATTGAGCCACCTCACTGGCCCCTTTAATTTTAAAATTGTATTATTATTATTATTTGTGTGTGTGTGTGTGTGTGTGTGTGTGTGTGTGTGTTGGGGAGTTGTGTGCACATGCCACAGAGTGCATGTGGAGGCCAGAAGACAACCTGTGGAGTCAGTTCTCTCTCTCCACCTTTACAGGGGTTCCATGAATGGAACTCAGTCATCAGGCCTTCCCAGCAAGCCCTTTTCCCACTAAGCCGTTTATTTTATTGGCCCAATTTCTCTTTCTTATGCCCATCATGTAATGGCACATGCCTGTAGTTCCAGTTCCAGAGGGCCGGTGTATTAGTCAGGGTTCTCTGGAGGAACAGAACTGATTGAGTTTATATATATATATACATTTTCACACATATAAACCACATATTATTATATATTACATATTATATAACATATAAAGGGGATTTATTAGAATGGCTTACAGGCTATGGTCCAGCTAGTCCAACAAAAGGTCCAAGAATCCATTAGTTGTTCAGTCCACAAGGCTGGATATCTCAGCTGGTCTTCAGTATACACCAGAATTCCAAAGAAGTGGGCTCTAATGTCAGTAAAGCAATGGAGAGAGAGAGAGAGAGAGAGAGAGAGAGAGAGAGAGAGAGAGAGAGAGCAAAAAGCGAGAGCTTCCTTCTTCCATGTCCTTTATATAGGCTGCCAGCAGAATGTGTGGCCCAGATTAAAGGTGGATCATCCAACCTCAAAAGATCCAGATTAAAAATGGATCTTCCCACTTCAAATGCTCTAATTAAGGGGAAAAAAATCCCTCACAGGTGTACCCAGCCACTTGGGTTTTAGGTAATTCCAGATGTAGTCAAGTTAACAACCAAGAATAGCCATCACAGCTGGGGAGGGAGGACTGCCTTGGGGAAACAGCCTGGCAAACCCAGTTTTAAAAGTTCAAAGAAAATTGCTCCCCCCCACCTTTTCTTATGCTCCTCAAATAATTTATATTTTACAGAATTTGTAGCCTTTTTTAGACTGTCCCTTTGTGTCACTCACTCTAAAGAATATTCCCATCTCCCCCATCTCCTACCGCAACGCCTCACCTTCCTGATGAGCAGGGGACTGGATTTGATCCCCGACAGTGGCTAATTCCTCTTCTGTTTCTTGGAAGCAGGGATTCCTGTTTACAAGCCAGCTGTGATCTCATTACTGGAACAAGGAAAAGACCCCTGCGTGGTGCAGAAGGAGGGAGCAAGAGACGCAAGCCCTGGTGAGTGGAGCCAAACTAGGGAGGTGGGTGCCCCTGTCGGGAAAGGCTCAGATGTTGGGAAAAGCCTAGCTCATCCTTAGTGCTTCAGGAGTAGTTTCTTTCTTTTTTTTCATTTTTGATTTTTTTCGAGACAGGGCTTCTCTGTTTAGTTTCGGTGCTTGTCCTGGAACTCACTCTGTAGACCAGGCTGGCCTTGAACTCACAGAGATCTGCCTGGGTCTGCCTCCGGAGTGCTGGGATTAAAGGTGTGTGCCACTTCCACCCAGCTGGAGTAGTTTCTTTTCTTTTATTTCTTTTTTAAATGTTTTATTATTATTTATTTATGTGTACATGTGTGTTTGAATGTATATGTGCATGTATCTAAGATTAGGGTCATCCCCTGAATCTGGAGTTATAAGCAGTTGTAAGCTGCCTGATGTGGGTGCTGGGAACTGAACTTGGTCCACTGCAAGAACAATACATGTTCTTAACCACTGAGCCATCTCTCCAGCCCTGGAGTAGTTTCTTTTAAAGCATGTGGTCCATACGGAGGCTGATCCATCATGCTGAGCTGGTCTAGAGTGAGTGAGTTTATTAGGTACATGGCCTGCAGCAGTAGAAGAATAAACAGCAAGCTGCAGAGGGTCATTGGAGCATCGAGTCAGATGCTCACACCAACAGGAGAAGCCTAGGAGCCAGGAGCTGTTGATGGACAGAGGGCTCCAGGCAGATCGCCTCTCAGAGTGAGACTTCCCATTAGCCATTCCCACCACAGGCCTAAAACCATCAGAAAACACAGATTCATTACAGTTCATAACAGTAGCAAAATTACAGTTATGAAGTAGCAATGACAATAGTTTTGGGGTTGAGGGGTCCCCACAGCATGAGGAACTGTGTTAAAGGGTCGCAGCATTAGGAAGGCTGAGAACCGCTGCTCTGACAATCTCCTCCTTCTGCTGTAAAGGGCATGGTATTCTCCTTTTGTAAGACTTATTTTTATTTAACGTGTATGAGTGTTTTGTCTGCATAGTACATCACATGCAATACCTGCCTAGGCCAGAAGAGGGTGTCAGATGCAGACCTAGTTAAACTGACTCATATGGGCGCTGGGAACTGGATCTGGGCCTTTTCAAGAGCAGCCAGTGCCAATCTCATTCTCTCTTATTGGGTGATTGATTGTCAAAGTTCCCTTTGTGTATCTTCACCTGTCTCCTGTAGATTCTGATAGTTCATGGGTTTTGTTACTATTCTTTCCTATAGTTGTAATTTCTCTTTCACATGGTTGTTTAAAAGATAATTTTCTTGTTCCATTACATTTTGGTCAGATTGTTTTATTGTATTTGACTGGATAGTGGGTTTTTAATAAGATCAGATAGTGGGTTTTTATATATATATATATATATATATATATATACATATTTTTTTTTTTTTTTTTGGAGGAGGGGCTGTTCTGAGACAGGGTTTCTCCATGTAGCCCTGGCTGTCCTGGAACTTGTTCTGTAGACCAGGCTGTCCTGGAACTCACAGATCTGCCTGCTTCTGCCTCCCGAGTGCTAGGATTAAACTCGAGCGCCACCACTGCCTGGTTCCTCTTGTTTTCTTTTTTTTTTTTTTTTTTTTGAGACAGGGTTTCTCTGTGTAGCTTTGCGCCTTTTCCTGGAACTCACTTGGTAGCCCAGGCTGGCCTCGAACTCACAGAGATCCGCCTGCCTCTGCCTCCCGTAAAGGCGTGCGCCACCGCCGCCCGGCCCTCTTGTTTTCTTAATCAGTGATCTTATAAAGGAACCTAATTTTGGCTTTACTTTTTCTGCTGATTCTATCTACTTCATTATTTTCTCACGTAGCGTGTGTTTTTCCACTTCCTTTGGGTTTCTGCTGGTCATTCCTGAGGTAGCCCCTCAAGGAGTTACTGTCTTTGTTTGTTTATTGTGTAATTATACGCACTTTAGAATTACAACTGTTCCTTAATACTCTGATAGTGAGTACATGCCAGACATAATTAGGTCTCTTAAATTTAATTCTTTTGAGGGTAGAGAACATCTCTGTCTGATTTCAGTCAGTACTTTGAAATTTGTTGAAATGAAATTTGATGTCTCCTGTAGATTCTGATAGTTCATCACGAAAAGGCCTGACTTACTGAACATACTATGACTACCCACTGGATCATTGTTGAATGTAGTTATATCATTATAGAGTAGGATACAGTAGTCAATTCTGCTGAGACCCACTATGCATTTACTAATTTTTGCCAAGATTTATCAGTTTCTAAGACCCTGTTTTTGGTAATGTTGGGACACTGAGATGTCTCATCGGATAAAGGCACTTACCTCCAAGCCTGATGACCTGAATTCGATCCTCAGGACACACGTGGTGGAGAGAACCAGATCCCACAAGCTGTCCTCTGACCTCCACACAAATGTCAAAACATTCGCTTATGTGCACACATTTAATCAATGTAGTTTTTAAAAGAGGTAATCTTATTTGGGTCTAATAAGGAAAAGCCAAATTAAAACCTGTACTAAATTAATAAAGGCAAGCAGTTTGATAGAAAATTATGTTTTCATGAAGACATTGTGGCTTCAGGAATCAACTGAAAAATTACATTTAGTTAGAACTTATTACAAAGAAAATTGTTTTCAGAAACACCTTCCTAGAATGCAAAAATTAACCATAAAATAGCTCTAGCTGTCCTGGAACTCACTATGTAGACCAGGCTGGCCTCGACCTCACAGAGAACCACCTGCCTCTGCCCTACAAGTACTGAAATTAAAGGTATGTGCCACTGTGCCCAGCTTAATCACCTTTCTTAATTTAGTAGTGAAGCTGCATTAAGAGATGTTAAATCCTTTAATTTCTTTTGTATTTTACTTTCTTTGTTTGAGCACTTTCTTTTCTTATAATGAATGAATTTTAAAACATGTATTTGCTTGGTATCCTTTAGATTGGGATTATGTCTTCAAAGGCATTGAATTTTCATCAAAGCAAGATATTTATGATGAATCGGCCAAAGTCCTACCCATGGGAAGAAGCCATTTTAGTTATAGCCTTGACTGTCCCAATTTGAAAGAAAACCATGAAAGTGAAGACTGGTTTAAGAACAGATTGGGAGGTCAGGAGGTGCATCCTAATCAATTGCTCATTATTCGTAAAGAAATCTATGAAGATCAAAGTAATGGGTGTAATCCGTCTTGGCAAACATTCCATCAGGATGCAATACTAGATATACCACAGAGTTTTTCTACCAAAGAAAGAACACATCAATGTGAGCCACAAAGGAGAAGTTACCGAAAAAAGTCTATGGAAATGAAACATAAGAAGGTCCATGTAGAGAAGAAAATTCTGAAATGTAATGAATGTGAAAAAGTCTTTAACCAGAGTTCATCCCTTACTCTCCACCAGAGAATTCATACTGGAGAGAAACCCTATGCATGTATTGAATGTGGGAAAGCCTTCAGCCAGAGCGCAAACCTAGCTCAACATAAGAGAATCCATACGGGGGAGAAACCTTATGAATGTAAAGAATGTAGGAAGGCCTTCAGCCAGAATGCACATCTTGCTCAACATCAAAGAGTTCATACTGGAGAGAAACCTTACCAGTGTAAAGAATGTAAAAAAGCCTTCAGCCAGATTGCACACTTGACTCAGCATCAAAGAATTCATACCGGAGAGAGACCTTTTGAATGTATTGAATGTGGAAAAGCCTTTAGTAATGGTTCGTTTCTTGCTCAGCATCAGCGAATTCATACAGGAGAGAAACCTTACATGTGTAACGTGTGTGGGAAAGCTTTTAGTCACCGTGGATACCTAATTGTACATCAAAGAATTCATACTGGAGAGAGACCCTATGAATGTAAAGAATGCAGGAAGTCTTTCAGTCAGTATGCACACCTGTCTCAACATCAGAGAGTCCATACTGGAGAAAAACCTTATGAATGTAAAGTATGTAGAAAAGCTTTTAGCCAGATTGCTTACCTCGATCAACATCAGAGGGTTCATACTGGAGAGAAACCTTACGAGTGTGCTGAATGTAGAAAGGCCTTCAGCAACAGTTCATCACTTGCTCAACATCAGAGAAGTCACACTGGAGAGAAACCCTACACGTGTAAGGAATGTAGGAAAACATTTAGCCAGAATGCAGGCCTTGCTCAACATCAAAGAATTCATACTGGAGAGAAACCTTATGAATGTAATATTTGTGGGAAAGCCTTTAGTTATAGTGGATCCCTTACTCTACATCAGAGAATTCATACCGGAGAGAGACCTTACGAATGTAAAGATTGCAGGAAGTCCTTCAGGCAACGTGCACACCTTGCTCATCATGAGAAAGTACATATTATGGAGTCATTCTTGTCCCTTTCCTCTCCATCACCCTCTCCATCCAATCAGTTGCCGAGAGCTATGGGTTTGATCTCATAAATCTGACCCATTAGAAGCATTTCTATTTCATCATCCTTGTCTTCTACATGGTAATCTGTTTTATGTGGAATACTGAAATATCTTTCCAGTGTATTCACCCATGCCTCTGTCAGTTTTTATACTTCAGCCAAACTTAGAAAAACACATTGTGGTCATATTATTTATCCTTCATTAATTAGGATTACTTACTGACATCCAAAAACTCATTGGGAAGAAGCACACAGTCCTTAGAGTAACCTAACAAGATACCTTGTCCCCAGCACCTTGTTTCAAACTACCTTCTAAAGCCTTCATGTCAATATTCTCTCTCTCTCTCTCTCTCTCTCTCTCTCTCTCTCTCTCTCTCTCTCTCCCCTCTCTCCATCCAGAATTAAAATAGATCTAGGCTCTAATCCTTGCTCTTCCTTTTTCCATCCCTAATTTTAGAGCATTTGGTCCTTTGTAACCTTCAGTCTTATCTATATTATGGGACTAATAATGGTTCTACCTCAAACGCTATTGGGAGAAGTAAATAATGCATGTAAATTTCTTAGCAGAGTGCCTAGCGTAAAATAATACTAATCTACAATAAAAATATGATGATACACAAAGAAGAGTTGGTCATTTTAATCATAAAGAAGCCAAAACACAGACCTGGGACATTATAACTTTTTGGTTTTAATTAGAAATACTGAAGTTAAAAAAAAGGGGGGGGGGGCTGGAGAGATGGCTCAGAGGTTAAGAGCACTGGCTGTTCTTCCAGAGGTCATGAGTTCAATTTCCAACAACCACATGGTGGCTCACAACCATCCATAATGAGATCTGGTGCCCTCTTCTGACATGCAGGTGTATATGCAGACAGAACACTGTATACATAATAAATAAATAAATCTTTAAAAAAAAAGAAATACTGAAGTTGGAGACTGAGGACTGAGCTTAGTTTGTAAAGTGATTTCCTAACATGCACAATCCTAGGTTCAATCCCCAGTACCACATAAGATGGACATAAAAGTTCAAGGTTATTCTTGGCTACATAGCCCGTTCAAGTCCAGCCTGGGCTACATGAGACCCTATCTTAATACATATAACAAGTGGGTGCCATCTAATACAGTGTGGGTTGATATTAGATTGATGATAGAGGGAAACATGTTAACTTCTATTTCATAGCATGAATATGTAAATATATGACTGGACAAGAAAAACGATTTCATTGTTCAAGTTCTATGACACCATACTTGCTTTTCTCTAAAAAAAAAAAAAAAAAAAAGAAAAAAGGAAAAAATCACTCCAAGGTAGAATTTACTGAGATATATCATTATATATATGTATAAACAAAAGAAAAACAGGTATTTAAAAACAAGGCAGAAAATCTGATCAGTAATCAGTGAACTAGAGTACTTACCCAGTATGTACCACAGTGAAAGCCTTTAATACACATCTCCAGTTATTTTTTAAAGAGATCATGTGTGTGTGTGCATTTCTCTCTCTCTCTCTCTCTCTCTCTCTCTCTCTCTCTCTCTCTCTCTCTGTGTGTGTGTGTGTGTGTGTGTGTGTGTGCACGCGCGCGCATGTGCACACACTCGCACAAGTGCCTGAGGAAGGCTGTGGATCCCCTGGAGCTGAAGTTACACCTGTTGATGAGCCACCTAATGTGGATGCTGTGCTCTTAACCACTGAGTTCTCGCTCCAGCCCTACATCTCAGTTAATTCAAAAGAATTCAAGTGTTGTGAATGTTTTCTGGCCAGAATGGAATGATCTTAGAAACGATATATAACAGAAAGATAACCCAAATGTGCCCAAAATTTGAACCAAACTAGCACACTTTTTAGGAACTCAGTTCACAGAAGACATCATAAGAATGGACTAGGGGTTTGCAGAGATGGCTCAGCGATTAAGAGCACTTGTTGCTCTTAGAGTGGACCTGGACTCAGTTCCCAGCACCCACATGGTGGCTCACTACCACCTGTAACTCCAGGTCCAGGGCTTCTGATGTCCTCTTAGAGGCTCCTTGGATGGTGCACAGATAGACATGCAGACAAAACACTCAAAACATACAAAAATCTCTCTTGAAAGAAAGAATGGGAACTACAGAAAGAACAGATGGCTTGGAGTATATCTTGAGGACAGAGTACCAGCTTAGCATGTATGAGGGAAGCCCTACCTAGATTTGATCCCTATCACCTGCCCCCTCACCAATTCTGAGTGAAAATCAAAACAAAAGCTGATTCTTTGAGGATGTCCATAAAACTAATGAACTTTTCGTGTGCATAAGGAAAATGGAAAGAATATGTTACCAGTGTCTTGGATTATAACAGGTACTACAAGTCCTCTTGCTAAAAAGCATTGACTCTAGACTTAGTCTCATAAAACCACCATAAAAGGTGCCCAGAGGACCCCGGTTATTATCCTAAAGCTGCAGTCACCTTGGATTCTAGGAACAACGGGGCCAGTCAGTATTTTTTATAGGGCTCAGGAAATGGCTCAGCCAGGAAAATGCTTTCCATGCAAGCATGGGGACCTGAGTTGAGATTCCCAGCAATCACTCAAAAGCTTGGTACAGCAGTATGCCAGTCTATGACCACAGCACCACAAGAACAGAGATGGGCAGACCCTGTTGACTCATCTGTAGATGTAACCAATCGTCTTATTAAAATAAGAAACACAGAGCCAATGTAAAAGAGAAAGCCGAGAGGTCAGAGCTCAGAGATAAAATCTTACCTCCTGCAGTGCTCCTAACTTCCCCGAGAGAGAGCTACTTCCTGTTTGTCTGTGTTTAAATAGTCTTTCTGTTCTGCCTTCTCATTGGTTCTAAACCCAACCACATGACTGCCTCATCACTGCCTGTAAGTACCGCCCTCCAGGTCTTAAAGGCGTATGTCTCCAATGCTGGCTGTATCCCTGAACACACAGAAATCTACCTAGCTCTTCTAACCATCACGCTCTTGCTATGGCTCTAATAGCTCTGACCCCATGGCAACTTTATTTATTAACATAAAATTAAAATCACATTTCAGTACAAATAAAATATCACCATACTCATCAGTCTAAACTGATGAACTCTAAGATGAGTGAGAAACTCTCAAATCATAAGGTGACCAACCATCAATACGGCTCTATCCATCTATCTATCTAAGGACCCGGATTCAAGCCCCAGGACCTATGGGGAAGTGGTGGAAGCGAATCTACTTTCCAGGTGTGTATCATGGCACACGTTTCCCTCACCTTGTGCATACACATGGACAGCAATCTTTAAAAAGTGGTGAGCAATTGGATCACTTGACACCAGCTTTCAGACACATGTCCTCTCTGTTGCACACATACTTCCCACACACATACATGCATATGTGCACACATACTTTTTTCTGACAAAGGATGAAAATCCATATGATAGTGAGATTGTACCCTGGACCAAGAATAATCTTACATTGTTACCAAAGCTCTAGCTCTGGCTTCCTCTCAGCATCCTAGTCTATGTGATCTCTATAGGAAGAATTCAGACAAGACACACAGCATCATGTAGATAACAGGTGTCTATTTAAAGGCAAAGTATAGGCTGGGTGTGGTGGTGCATGCTTTAATCCCAGCACTCAGGAGGCAGAGGCAGGTGGATCTATGTGAGTTTGAGGCCAGCCTGGTCTGCAAAGTGAGTCCCAGAACAGCTAATACTGTTACACACACACACACACACACACACACACACACACACACACACACACACACACATGTCTACTTATCCCAGAAAGGGAACCCACTACAGACCAAAGTAATGATTGCATCAAAGTCCAACTTGGTAAATCAATGGAGTTTTTGGGGTGTTTTTTAATTTTGTTTTTTAAATTTGTACTTTACATGTTTTGTCTAGATGTATGTCTAGTGCCTGAGAAAGCCAGAAGAAGGTGTCAGATTCCCTGGAACTTGAGTTATAGATGGTTTTGAACCACCACGAGGGTGCTGGGAATGTCTCTAGTCCCAAAATGAGTTTTGTGGGTTTGTTTTGTTCTGTTTTTCCTGGAGACAGGGTTTCTCTGTGTAGCTCTGGAGCCTGTTCTGGAACTTGCTCTGTAGCCCAGGCTGGCCTCGGACTCACAGAGATCCGCCTGCCTCTGCCTCCCGAGTGCTGGGATTAGACATGTGCACCACCATCGCCCAGCACCAAAATGAATTTTTATTGGGGTTCCTAACAGGAGTATGGATGAGGGTGTACTTATAAGAGTAGGGATTACAGACATGGGTGCTACCATATGACTTTAACAGGTTCAAGGGATCCAGCTGAGGTGGAGAGGACTTTGTGGAAGGTGCTCTACCAGAGTTACCTCCCCAGCCTTCTTGTTTCTGTTTGTATGTGCATGGGTGTTTTGCCGGCATGTCTGTCTGTGCACCACATGCATGCCCAGTACCTTTGGAGGCCAGAAGAGGGCGTCAGAGCCCCGGGACTGGAATAGCAGCTATGAGCTGCTCTATGGGTACTGAGAACTGAAACTGGGTCCTTTGGAAGAGCACCAAGTGCTCTTAATCACCGAGCCATCTCTCTAGCCCCCTACTTTTTGTTGTTTTCTTCTGTTGACTAGGAACTATTTATTTAGGAGTCCAGACTAGTTTTAAACTCATAAGGATCCCCCCACTTCTGCTCCTGGGTTCTGGGATTCAAGGCATATACCATGCCCAGCCCTACTTTATTTTTTGAGAAGGTCTCTCAGTGAACCTGGAGCTCACCTTTTCAGCTACTCTGTCTGACCAGCAAGCCCCCCAGATCCACTTGTTTCCAACTCTCAGAATGGGGTTACAGATCATGATGGGAGGACGTGCAGAGATGACCGGCCACACTAGTGGACGCCCATGAACTGTGGACTGGTGGCTGTGGAGCCCCCATGGGACTGGACTAGGCCCTCTGGATACGGAAGATGGTTGTTTGGTTAGAACTATTGGGGGGTCACCCAGGCATGGGGATCGGGATCTGTCCCTGGTGCATGGGCAGGCTTCTGGAATCAGGTGCCTGTGGTGTGACACCTTGCACAGCCTTGGTGCAGTGGGAAGGGGCTTGGACCTGCCTAGGCTCAGTGTGCCGGGCTCTGCTGACTCCCCATGGGAGACCTTGATTTGGGGGATGTCGGGATGCGGGGTAGCTTGGGAGAGAGGGCTGGAGGGTGGGAGAAGGGAGGAGGGGGATCTGTGGATGGTATGTGGAGTGAGTAGAAAATTTCTTAATAAAGAAAAATGAAAAAAATTAATAAAATATCCCCAATTTAAAGCATTCCCCCCCAAAAAAAGTAACTTGCAGAAATTGGTTTTCCCCTTTCATCATGTGAGTTCTGGGGATTGAATTCAGATTCATCAGGCTTGTAGCCTACAGTCATTTGGAATCTCAGCTGAGGCACTGCCCAGATCAGACAGTGGGCATGTCTGTGGAGGACTGTCTTAACTGGAAACTGAGGTCTGAGGGTAAGGCACCACCATTCTCTGTGCGAGATGTCCTGGGGTATATGAGGTAGCTAGCTAAGCATGAGCCTGAGGACCAGCCAGGAAACAGCATTCCTCCAGTTTCTGCCTTCTGAGTTCCTGCCCTGAGTTCTCGATGATGGACCATGCCATAGAAGTGTATGCCAAATAAAGTCATTCCTCCGGAGTTGCTTTTAGTCAGTGTTTTATCACAGCAGAGTGGAATACACATGCTCTACTACCACTGAGCCACATCCCCGATGGCATCCTCTTAGGGATACCGCTGATCTGGAACCAACCTTCCAGGCAGATGAGAGAGGATAAAACTTTGGGCAGGGGTGAGGGGGGTAGAAAGGGAAAGAGAGAAGCACGCCTCTCCCTGATCCTCTTCCGTGTCATTCTTCACCCATTTGCTGCAGTGATTTTATTTTTGTTTACATAATGAAAATTTAACCTTTAAACAGCATGACAGCTGCTTTTACCTCGCCTGCAAGTTGGTTGTTTTCTTACTTGTATTAGAGTTTTTATGGCTGAGACAAAATACCAGAGCAAAACGAGGTAAGATTTATTTTGGTTTTAGTCCATCCTAGCAGGGTGAGCAGGGTAGGCAGGGCAGAGCTCTCATGTGGTAATCAGAAAAAAGAGGGGTAGAGAAGGTTCTTGTTAAAGCTCCCCAATATATTAGCTTAAGATGCCACAGCAAAACACTATAAATTGGTTGACTTGAGATGGGAGCGGGGAGGAGAAGCGGCTCAGTAGTTTAGAGCCCTTGTCATTGCGAAGATCCAATTCTCAGCACCCACATGGTGATTCACAACCATAACTCCAGATCCAGGGAATCTGATGCCCTCTTCTGGCCTCCAAGAGCACCAGGCACACGCACGGTGCACATATATACAGGCAGGCAAAACATTCATTCATATAAAATATCTTTAATTCTTTATTCTACTCTCATACACCTCGACTGCAGCTTCCCCTCCCTTCCCCTTCCACTCCTCCAAGTCCCTCCCCCTCTTCTGTCTCCCCCAGATCCACTGCTCCTTTATTTCTCTTCAGAAAAGAGCAGGCCTCACAGGGACATCAACCAGAAACAGCAGAACAAGTTACAATAAGACTGGGCACAAACCCTCATATCAAGGTTGGATAAGGCAACCCAGCAGGAGGAAAAGGGTCCCAAGAGCAGGCAAAAGACTCAGAGATACCCCCACTCCCACTGTTGGGGTCCCTCAAAACCCCTAAGCTAAACAACCGTAACATGTAGAGGACCTAGCACAGATTCATGCAGGCTCCAAGACTGCTGCCTCAGTCTCTGAGAGCCCCCATGTGGCCTGCTTAGTCGATTCTGTAGGCCATGTTCTCCTAGTGACCTCAACCACTCTGGCTCCTACAAGCCTTCCTCTCCCTCTTCTGCAGGGTTCCCTGAGCTCTGCCTAATGTTTGGCTGTGAGTCTACATCTGCTACCATATATTCATACACATAAAATAAAAATTTTAATTCTCAAAAAAGTTGTTTTAAACAAAGGATGGGACATGACACAGTACCCAAGGACACACCCACACCCCCATGGTCTAGTTCCTCCAGCAAGGCCTCATTCAGAGCCTCCTACCAGCTGGGGATTATGAGTCTATCATTCACATTTCCTATTCAAACCCCAATATTTGTGGTTAAATTCAGATCCCCATGATCAAACACTATAAACTTTTCTTAAGAAACAGGTGTTCTCCTAAATAGCTTTTGCAGAAGGAAAACTCATTCAAAAGAGCCTGAGTATATACAATCTAGTTATACAAAAGAACTCGGACTTTATTTCTTATATATTTATTTCTTATATAAAAGAGGGACATAAAAATACATTGAATGGGTTAGACAGCTCAAAGGAAGACATCCAATACATTAACCTAGGAGTTCTTCCAGGTATTAATCAGCTCGAGCTGCTAACACACAGTATCACAGACTGGTGACTTAAAGAGAAATCAGGTGCTCATAGTTCCTCCGTAGGCTGGAAATCCAAGGTCAGGGCATCACACTGGTCAGGTTCTCATAAGGGCTTTCCTTGGTTTGCAGATGGCCGCCTGTGTTCTCACATGGTACAGAAAGAGATCAAGCCCTCTGGTGTCTCCGATCAATAAACGTATCAAAAAGGCCCATCCGCATCATGGCTTTATTAATCTCATTTCCAAGTACCATCACACTGAGGTGTTAGGGCTTCAACATATGAGCTGAGGTAACACAATATTCAGGCCATAAAAACACAAACACATAGTTACTTTTTGTACACCAATTAGCATTATTACATAAAAATGCTGTTTATTTATATAAATATAGACTTTTTTTTTTCAAATAAAAAAAGTAAAAAATGGCTTCTCCCTGCTCTGAAGTTCCTCACTGTTCAGTATCTCCTTCCCACCCCACCCCCAAGCCTGTCTTAGTCACACAGATTCTCACAGTGTATCTTCACATCCATGGAGGCAGTGTGGTATTGGCTACTGCTCTACACCACTGTGAATACTATCTTTAACAAGCTCTTCTTTGTTCTCACTCCAACACATTTCTGTCAGGAGAAAGAGGCACCCTGTTTACTGTTTTGCCTGCTAGGTCCTTACACACAGGAGTTCTAGTTCTGAGAACAGACTCAACACTCCATTTTCCTGGGACCTCAACTCAGGATCAAAGCACCATCTAGAAAAAAAATGGACTTTGCAGTTCCATTTCTTTGTATGTATCCTGTGAATTATCCTTAAAAACTACACTGGAAATAAAATACGAACTGAAAAACACCTTCATTCACAAACCCTAATCCAATATCCTGAGCACACCTCAGCTGATTTCAGATCTTCAGTTCAAAATCCACCAGCTACTTTTGCTCTTTGGCTTTCAAAGGGAGAATATCATAAAATGGCCCCATAGACACAAAACATGTTATAGGTAGATAGTTCCCTCCCTCCAATGAATGATTTCAGATTTAGGATTTTTCAGCATTATGGTGGACAGAAGCAATATCCCTGAGGCTAGGAATGATGATCCTTCCCTAGGCTGAAGATAAGCAGTAAGCAGTAAGATAACTCTCGAGATGCTGGGCAGCAGTGTCAGGTCAGGTCATAGCCCTCAGGAAGTCATGCAATCAGGAGAGTGAACAACTGGGACTCCACATTATACTGTGCTGCTAAACGATCACATTTGGTAGGGCAGGTATATTAAATATATTTGTTTTAAATATCTCAACCTATGGACATACATCATTATAAGTCAAGAACACTTACACACATTCTCCATGCCTCTGAACACTTCTTTGACATCCTTTTTAGCTTTTGCAGAGTTAGCAACAACTTCAGGATTGTTCCTCTGAATGTGTGCTCTGATGTCGGATCAGAGATGAGTTCCGACTATATGCCTTCCCACATTTGCTACATTCATACGGTTTCTCTGAAGAATGACTTCTCTGATGTCGTATAAGGTCCGAGCCACTACTAAACGCCTTCCCACATTCATTACATTCATAGGGTTTCTCCCCAGTGTGACTTCTTTCATGTAGAATGAGGGATATGCGCTGAGTAAAGGATTTCTTACACATTTTGCATGCATAGGGCTTCTCTCCAGTGTGAATTCTTTCATGCTGTGCAAGGTGAGCACTCTGGCTGAAGGCTTTCCCACACTGATCACATTCATAAGGTCTGTCTTCACTGTGAATTCGCTTGTGTCGGGTAAGAGATATTCGGTGACTGAATGCTTTCCCACATTCTTCACACTGATAGGGCTTTTCTCCAGTATGAATTCTTTGATGTTCAATAAGAAATGACTGGCGGCCAAAGACTTTACTACATTTATTGCATTTGAAAGATTTCTCTTCTGAGTGAATGTTTAGATGTACTTTAAGGTTTTCCATTCCACAAAACATTTTTCCACATTCCTTGCACTCAATGAGTTTCTTTTTTCTTTTATGAATTTTCTGGTGTTGAATAAGGGATGAATACCGATTGCACACTTTCTCACATTTATTGCACTTAAACTGCTTCTCCCCCTTATGAGTTCTTAGGTGCAGAATAAGGGTGGAAAGCCGTCTAAAGTCTTTCTGGCATTTACCACATTTGTAGGGTTTCCCTGAAGTGTGAATTCTCTGATGAAGCATTAAGGGTAAGATCCTACTGAAGGACTTCCCACATTTCCTACATGTAAACGGGTTTTCTAAATGGTGAGTTCTCTGCTTGAGACCCTGACTTAAGGCCTTCTTAGTTTCATGAGTTTTCTTTCCAATACAAATTCTCTTACGCACAAGGACTGTCTTCTTTTTGAAGCCTCTACCATATTTATTGTATTGTTGTATTTTCTTTCTGCTGTGAATTCTCTTATGAAATAAAAGGGATGACATCTGGCTGAAGGCTTTCTCACGTTTTCTGCACTGGTGGATACTCTCAACAACATGATTATTATGGTGGTCACTGAAAGATGATGACCTGGAGCGTGAACCTGGGGCCTTCTCATGGTTCAAATTTTCCTTCCCATTGTGAGTTCTCCTATGTATCATCAGAGTTAATTTTTTATTAAAAATTCCCCCACATTTATCACATTCATAGCTTTTCTTCCGATTGTGAACTCTCTGATGAAGAATGAGGGATAAGATCTGTCTGAAAACTTGTCTACAATTGCTGCATCCATAAGACCTCTCTCCAGTGTGAAAGTCTTGATGAAGTTTAAAAGACAAACTTCGAGAAAAGGTTTTCCCACAATTATTACACTTTAAAGATTTCTTGCCTGAATGTCTTTTCTTGGGTTTTCTTAGGAGTGAATTTTGGCTACATTTTGTCCTCCTTGTAGTGACCTTTTGTTGTGAAGAAACTGGTTTCTGATGGACACTTTGCCCAGATTTGTTCCATGGATTTGGTGGTAACTTCTTGGTCTCACACTTAGACCCTGATTCTGAAATACACCAAGAAGTTAGAATTAGTTTTTCTGTGCTGAAGAAATGAGGCTTGTGTAATAAAAAAGGAGCCATTATAGTCGGTGATTAGAACAACACAATGTTAACAAGAACAACACAATGTTAACAAGAACAACACAATGT